ACATCGAGAGATCTCAACATTGGGACCTAGTATCAGGTGATGCTGGATTTTCATGGGACAAGGAGGACAGTTAATGTTCGTCCATCAGAGTGGGCCGAAGACTAGGGCTAGCACCTTCCTACGTGGCCTGCCGGCTACGTTGTCGTTACATCCGAGTAATTACCCTTGATTAAATTTACCTTTTTACGTTCCTTGACTCAGTAACCCCTCCCTTTACCTCTTATTGCCTCTCCGGGGTGGGGGGCATTTTTACTCTCATTGGATGATATTCATTCCCTGTCAGGGGCGATTGTCCACCGCCGTGCATGTCTCTGCTCTTTTGATTTCGCCTCTGGATTATACTACTTTCTTCCTCCCTCACGGAAGATTTTCGTGGTGAATTTAAATGTAATATTGCAATCTATCTGATTTTATTATTTCTATAATCAAATCACACAAAATGAAACTAAATATTCAGGTTAATTACGGGTAAGTTACGCTTTCAATGATCAGGGTTTTGGTGTCTGTCGGTATGTGTCTTTAGAATGTTGTATAACCTGCAGCTTTATATGTAATATTATATTTATCTTTTCATATAAGCGCTGTTCTACGTACGATGGATTAAAATTGCGTTCACAACGTCCTAAAATTATTTATCGGTCGGCTGCTGTATTCCTGCTGAATGGTCTTCCGTGCTTGCTTAAGCGTGAATTCTATTATTCCGCCTTACAACTTAAGCCGCGTTATTATGTTTCGGTTACCACCGACGTCTTGGCCGCTGATTGCTCACCTTAGACATGTGTACCCGTTTTTCGTCTGCTTCATCGACGCTGTTAGTTTGTTAGCTGTGTTTGTTGGTACTGTCGAACCGGCGTACCAGTTTCTATACTTATTCACTGGCTAGCTAAGTACGAGAATCTCGTGTATCTCGTGTTGAAACGCAGTTTTTTCCGGACTTAGCACCAATAATACGGTACCAGATAAGCCAGTGTATACAGTGTGGAACGCAGGCTATAGAGGAGGCTCCCAATGCAGGTGGCAGAAAGTGTTACGTAGGTCACGCCTGGCGCGCACGTCCCTCGCTCTGTACTGGTGCTTCCACCTCCCGTGCAGTCGTTAACGTCATCGGCATCACGCACCGCACGCCTGATCGTGCACGCACCAAACGCGACACCGAGTGAGTGCCTGAGTCATAGACATCATCGCTACATAAAATTAAATTCTCTGACTCGCTCTCTCATCTCTCTCAATACTCTCTCTCTCTCTCTCTCTCTCTCCTCTCGCACACAAACCACTCGCCCACCGCCGCACCCCCTCCTCCCTCACTTTCTCTCTCTCTCTTCCTCTCTCATCTCTCTCTCTTCTCTCTCGCACACATCACTGCCCACACAACCGGCACCCCCTCCCTCCTCCTTTCTCTGCCATCTCTCCTCTCTGCTCTCGCGCCTCTCTCTCTCTCTCTCTTTTTTTTCTCCTCTCATCTCTCTCGTCTCGCTCTCCCTCTCTCTCTTCTCTCTCTTCTATGCTATACTCTTTCGCTAACATTCATATATTTATATTTGTATGTATATGATTTAGTAATAAATCAATAAACCGTCATTATAGATTCGATCATGTCATTCAATGTTTTCAGCTGATGAAGGGAATATGACTGGGATCAATCATAAGTGATGATTGAAACAATTGATAAGTTCACCATGCTTACAGATAATGCACTGTACTTGGCATAGATTATTGGCTTAGGTTATCACAGTTATAATAGGTATTGTGTCTTGTTTTCCAATTCTACAGAGAAAGCATAAGAGTTTAACTATATACGTGTTGTTGTAGAGTAATGTCTAAATTATCTTGTTTTCTGGATGATGAATGTATTTTGTGACGTGCGTACGTGCATTGTAAGTGTGCGCGCTGTGCGTGTGTGTCGTGCTCCGTGTGTGTCTGAGCGCGGCAACAGGTCGATCGGTCGATACGGTCTATACTGCGGTAAATCAGTATATCCGTGGATTATGACTATGATAACAATAAGCTTGCTATATTAATTGTCTGGGGTATAACAATTATCTAATGTTATTGTATTAAATATATATAATATATATATATTTATTTCTTATTTATTTATTTATATTCATAGTATATATTTTAATATATAGCGTGTTTTAGTGATGGGCGGCGGCTGGAGTTGGCCGCGTGCTAGAATCCCTTTATTAGTTGAGTGCAAAGGGATTCTACCCTGGTGCGTCGTGGTCTTCGGACCTAGATAAGAGTGATACGTGCGCGTAACTCGTGCGTGTGCGTGTGGCGTGTGGCTAGTCATAGTCGAACAACACCGATGTTTGGTAGGAAAAGCGTGCGATATTTATTTGTTCGTCGCAACTTTAATATATGTGAATGAATTGAAGGAATTCGGTGTGTATTTCTCGCAGACCGTTGTGGTTACAGTACGAAGCGAGCGGTAAGTGTTTGGTTGGACTTTATACGTGTCGTAGGTGGATAAGGACAGACAGAAACAGGGTCCCCTGTAGCTCCAAGAAAACGGTATTGCTAGATTAGAAAACCGCGGCGTATATACTTGTTACATTGACGTTCAGTCAACACAGCCTGGTCCGGGATTTAAGAGGTCCCGTAGCCTTTACATGAGTTGGTGCGTGTTGAATTCAACTCTCACATCTCAGTTTTACTGTGTAAATATGTTTATAATATACTATTTTACTTACTTATAAGCGTTTACAAGTTTTAGTGAATATTGCATTTTAAGTATTATTATTTGTTTCATTAAACTTACTAAAGCAAGCGTGAACGCCGTGAGGGCGTTTATAACGAGTCAAAAAATGATAATGGAATCCATGCAAAGAATAGACGGTGATGCAACGTAATAGTGTCTTAGACGAGAATAATAATTAACGGCTGATGGTAAAATAATTATCATTTTTAATGAGACGTTTTAATATCCGGCCGTGTTCACGCCTCACGCTTAACACCCAAATCTAGTTGCCTCAAGAAGCCTCGGCATATCAAATAGTAACTGTGTGGTGTGTATGGCTAAGTAACGTGCGATATACGTGTTCGTGTTACCTGATCAAGACAGTAGCTTTATATTATAATACGTTATTACCAGGAGTATCTGCAAATATAGATGCTATGAGATATATGACTAGATGTTAAGATAGATCTATATTCTGAAACTCGTGTTATCAATTCATTCCATACTATGTATGTATTTAGTCCTTGTAAGTCATACAGATAAATATATGTCATATATTTTTACCAGCGTCACTGCTCCACGCACCCAGCGCGTGCCATTAGACTAAAATGAGAATTACATAACGCTACACGGCTTTGATACAGACACACACACATATACATCACGCACGCACTGCACGCGCACGCAACACACGCACGGACGCACTTGACAAGCCACACACAACTACCAGACACACACACTTCACACGTGCACACCCTCTTTTCACACCACACACACACACACACACACCACACACACACAGCAGCCACAGCGCAGCGACGCACGACAACTCCTTGACACACCACACACACACACACCCACAGCACACACACTACTACACACGGCAACACCACACACAGCAACCTGACACACACAAGCCACACCACACACAGGGAGGCCCACAACCACTGACACACACACACACACACATCACACTATACACATACACACCACACCACACACAGCCACCCACACGACAGGCTCACACACACAACACACAACACACACACACACACACATACATAATACATATGCGATGCGTGTACGCAGGGACGCTACACACACACACACAGCACACACACACAACACTAGCACACACACCACACACACAGAGGGCACACACAATCACACACTCACACAGCCACGCACACAGGCCCCGAGACAGCACACATAACGCAGAATTACATACACGCTCGCACGCAGGGACGCAACACACACACACACGCCTACATCAGGTTCCATTCGGTAGACTCCTACATTTTTCTGTGTAGAGGATATAAAAGCTCCGGTGTAAAGATTGGCCTATGAAACAGAGGCGGATTTTTCTCGCTTTTAACGCCGCGGGTTCAAGCCTATTGTAGCATTGTGACACACTAAACCCTCATTTTTTTTCATATCATAAATTACATAGAATGACTTCCCTAAATTAATAGTGAAATCTGCTTCCGGCCGCCTTTTTAAAAATTTTTTACTCGGTTTTAAAGTGTAAATTTCCTATCCCATTTCTGTTTGATAAATATTCCTAATAAAGGGACTTATTTCTTATTTTCTCCTCCTTTGCTCTGTTTCTAGAGCAAGGTAACTTTTTAGTGGCAGTAGAAGTTTTGCTTTAATCGTAAAACCCCCGAGTCTTGATCTGCGCTGGCGAAAGACCGGAGAAGCGGTCACGACACGGTCAATGCAATAGGCAGTGAATTTTATCGTTCGATGTCCTCGCCGGACGGGTGATGACCACAATCCAAAGAGGCTTAATCAAATACCAAATAGGAGTCTATATATAAATTATTATTGAATAAGCTATATATAAATTATTAGCTTAATAAGCTACATATAATATTATTTATTAATGAGACCAACTATATCATAAATGTTTGTTATTAATAAGTCTATATTATAATATTGATTTTATTAATAAGCATATAAATATATTATTTATTATAGCTATATAATAATTCTAATAACTATAATATATTATTTATTAATAAGCTATATATAATATTATTTATTAAAAATATAAATTTACATATAATATATATTTCTATAAGCTATATATAATAATGTGTTATTAGCTCCTTGATTTATGTCAACGGCAATCATCCGGCGACGCGCAGCGCTGCATGGTTCCGTTTCCTGAAGCTGGCTACCGTGTTTTACAAAAGCCGCGGCTGTCGCGACTATTAAACCCATGGCAGTTGGTATGCTTGCAGTTGTATATAATCAAGATTATAATCGTGTTCACAGGCTAGACCTACATAC